CCTGTGATGACAGAAATTCAAAGTGCTGTGGGGTGACACTGTTGCAGACTTGTGTGGCCCTAGAAAGCTGTCCAGAGGAAGAGACGTCTCCACTGAAACTACGTGGCTACAGAGAAACTAACCAGATGAAGAGAGATGTTCCAAGCAAAGGGAAGAGCCCCAAGGTGAGCCCATGTGACACTTGATGGAACTGAGGCCATTTTGACCAGCCTAGAAAGACAGGGGATGTGAGAGAAGATTCTGGAGAAGTCTGCACCAACCAGAGCATGAAGAGTCTAGTTAGCCCTGTTAAGGAATTGGGATTTTGTCCTGAGGTCACTGGGGAGCACTTGAAGAGTTATAAGCAAGAGAACAATAACAGATTCAAATGCATTTAAGATGGCTCACTCAGGCTAAAACGTGGGAAATGGCCCAAAGGCAGGTAGCTCGGATGCAGGGAGTCTTGCAAGCCTGTGAAGGTGATGCGGTGCTGTGACCACCCCTTCTCTGAGGCAGGGAGAGTAGGAATGAAACCACGTGGAATGCTGTGGGGAATGGATGGGAATGAGTGGGACTCCGGGATTATGTGAAGGTGCTAATGTGGAGGGGGGAGCAGAGCAGGGGGTGCAGGTACCTGCCGGGAGCCCATGGGTAAGTGTCAGTGCTTGGCCGTGAAATGAGGAAAGGTGGGAGGAAGGGAAGGGGTTTCCATTGGGGGTGATCAGTTCCTCAAATACATTTGTCAGGAAGTAAGGCAGGAGTGGGGTACGGATCTGGGAGCTGCCTGTGGGGATAACAAGAAAAGCACTGGCGTGATGGAGTACCTCGCAAAGAAGAGGTAATGTGGGGAGAGGGTCAAGACAAAACCCTGGCAATTCCCAGCATCTCGGGAACAGCTGCAGAAGACGGAGAAGGAACAGCCAGGGCGAGAGATGGCTGAGGTGATGTGGAAGCCAAGGAGAATGGTTTGCATACTATGGACAGTGTCCAGCACAGCACCGGGCACACGGTGACTGCTGTAGCATCAGTGAAGGCTGGGCATCATGGGAAGCCCAGCTTGTGAAAGAGCAGTTGGAGGACTGCATTCCTTCCCCCTTCCAAACCCAGACCCTGCCCCAAGGTAGAGATTTTTCTATGCAGCTAACAGAACTACCAGACAGAACAGCCTGCCAGCCCTGACACCAGAACTGTCCCCAGCAGTGACGCCTTTGCACAATGAACCATGCAGCAGACGGAGGACTACCAGATAGGAATGCCTCAAGCCAGGAGGAGGAGACCCTCAGGGGCTCACAGGTTGAGTCACCAAGCCTTCTCACTGGCCTTGCCCAAGGCGCAGCCTCCTTGATGTAGGCCAGGCCTCCTCTCCAGCGAGGGGGAGCTTAAGATGTAATCAAGAGGTGCCACGTGCCCGGGGGCAGGTCAGCACAGCTCCAGCCACCTTGGACACAGGCTGGTTCCCTGAGCCACCTCACTAATGGGAGTGTGCCTCTTTTGGGTCAGGAAAGAGTCAGGAGGCTCCTCTTCCTACTGATTAGAATTTAGTCTGGGGGCCAGAGGAAGGGAAGGCAATGGGGCTGAGGGAGGCTTGGGCTGAGAAGGTGAGGAGATGCAGATGGGCAAGGAAGAACATGGCAGAAATAGGGAGTCACCTTCTTTCTCATCTCTCCTGCCTCCTCTGCACCCTCCTCTTCCCCTCAGGACTGGGCTTTCTTAGTCAAGAGTTTGTCTTGACAACTGGAGATCAGGAACACATGTGGGTGGGGTGGCCTGGAGCAGTGACAACTGCAGAGTGAAAGGAAAATGGCCTCACACAGACAGGACAGCCCTCAGCCCACACCTCTTCAGTGCGAAAGTCCTTATTTGCTTGGCACTGGGTTGCAGAGGAGAGACTGGAACAGCTCGTGACTTCCCCCATAGTGTCTGCCAGCCCTGGCACAGGGCTGCTCTTTGGTGGGGGCTGACAACAGCACAAGGCAGTGCCCCCCCCCCATGCCCTACTGGACAAATGTGGGCACTGCTGAGGCCGGGGAGCAAAATCCCAGACCCTTCAGAGCTCCTCTGAACAGCTGCTGTGGAGATTGCCTGTGTGTCTCGATATCTTCCCTTTCTTTTTCTACTCCCATTTCCTCCAGAACTGACATGAATTTCAGCAGCTTCGCAGCCCTGCTCTTGCATCTTCCTTATTCTTGAGAATCTAAATGGGTGAGTGAACCCTATGGAACAGGCACTAAGAAGAATCATTCACTGAGCAGTAAAGGATTATCAAACCCTGTGGAATCCTAGGAGCTGGGGATGGACACCGAAAACAGTCAAACAATTATAGGCTCTCTACTAGGCAGAATTTAAAGGATGAAAATAGCCCTCCTCTTCTGAGCGGCCTGGACCACACCTCAGATTCTGCCTGCCCAGTGGGCAAAGGCCAGTACGAGCCTACAGGGCCCAGCACAGCAACTTCTGTGAATGTTTGCTGACCTCAATTCAGGCTGAATGGCATCAAAAGGGACTGCACTTCTCTCCAGAAGGTGACAGGCCCTAGCTGAAGAGAGCACATGCGTAATCTATGATGGGCCCCAACACCCTAACAAGGGAGCTAGGGTGGAGTCCCAAGAAACCTAACATTGAGAGAAAATTTAGTTCCCTTCCGTGGAAACTTCCTGTCTGCAGTCACAGGCCAAGCAGCCAGACTTGGAAAATAGCAGTGACATAATTCATACTTTTCCATCAAGCACAGAGCCGTCGTGGCACTCTGGCCTCTGCTTGTGTTGTTCCACCACCTTGAATGCCCTCTTCTTCCCACTTCCTCTAACAAAAGCCTATGCAACCAAAATATTTACAGATGAAGCAACATGATATCTGGGATTTCTTAGGATCCAGGAAGACTTGGGGGGTGAGGAGAGAGGAGATATTTAAAATCAAATTGGTCCAGTGTTGACAGTTAGTGAAGCATGATGGTGGTTAGAGTTTTCCAACAAGTCCATGCATCTATAAAATACAGGTCAATCCTACCTTATCCATGAAGCTTTCCTGACTACTGTCCACTCATCGACAGGCCCTTCCACTGACTTGGCCAGTGTTATCCACAGTAAGTAGTACAATGATTTACTGTAGCCACATATTGCAGATGTGTTTCATAGACTTTCAGTTGCCCCCAAAATTTCATGGCAGAAAGGAGAAGAAGGAAAAGAATGACATTACTTAAGGGCCTGCCATATACAGGGGACCAGACTGCATGTCTCTCACATAAGCCAGCCGTGTCCCACACCACCCCAGCACAAAGTTGGGCTCTCAATGTCATCTAATGCATTTTTGTTAGAAAATATATAGGAACCATTAAGTAAACATCAGCACAGCCACCTGGTAGACTAGTAGACAGCCATCAAAGATAATGGACAAGTTTCTAATATCAGAAAGGGAGGACATATATTATATCGCTGAGTGAAAAATAACCAAAGCACAAAATCATATACATGGTATGATCTTAACTCTATCAAAACTGAGTGGAGAGGCGCCTGGGTGGCTCAGCCAGTTAAGCATCCGACTTTGGCTCAGGTCATGATCTCATGGTTGGTGGGTTTGAGCCCTGCGTCGGGCTCTGTGCTGACAGCCTGTCACCGGATTCTGTGTCTCCCCCTCTCTCTGACCCTCCCCTGCTCATGCTGTCTCTCTCTCTCAGAAATAAATAATTTTTTAAAAAACATTAAAAATTTTTTAAAAAACTGAGTAGTAAAAAGACTGAGTGGAGGGGCACCTGGGTGGCTTAGTTGCTTAGGTGTCTGCACAGGGCATGAAGCCTACTTAAAAATAAATGAAAGTGGGGTGCCTGGGTGGCTCAGTCAGTTTAGTGTCTGACTTTGGCTCAGGTCATAATCTCATGGTTCCTGGGTTTGAGCCCTGCATCAGGCTCTGTGTTAACAGCTCAGAGCCTGGAGCCTGCTTCAGATTCTCTGTTTCCCTCTCTCTCTGCCCCTACCCCCCTTTCAAAAATAAATAAGCATTAAAAAATTAAAAAAAAAAAAAAAACTTGGTAGAGCTCAAAATGTGATAACTTCTGGGTAGGGGTTATTAGGGATTTTTTTCTTGTTTTCATGTATTCAAAATATGATTAAACATCGTATATAACCGGAGTCAGCAACCTTTTTCTGTAAAGGGTCAGCTAGTAAATATTTTTAGCTTTGCAAGCCATACAGTCTATGTTACATCTCCTCACCTCTGCCAATGCAACATGAAATCAGCCATAGACAATATATAAATGAATGGTGATGGCTGTGTTCCAGTACAGCTTTCTTTACAGAAATAGGTGGTGGGCTAGATGTGTCTTATGACCAGCCATAGTTTTGCCAGCCTCTCATCTATTACTTTATAATCAGGAAAAAAAATGTTATTTAAGTTATAGTAAATAGGTATTCTCAACTACAACTATAGGATCTTCATACTATGATTAATAGAGCACAGCAGCATACGAAAGTCTTACAGCCATGCTTTATTCCAGCTCCCTTGCATCATAAAACACTCAAAATTGCGAGTCATAAATTACAGAATATGAAAATGAAAATTCTCTGCTGGATAGAGAAGTAAAAATTCATGATACCAGTAATTAATACAAATTTTATCTCTATTTTTAAAGCTAATATATATCATTTATTTAAATTCTATTTTATATCTTTCCATAAAGTTTTAAATTATTTTGGAGAGTTCTCAGGAATCTATTATTTTCATTTTTTTATTTTTTTTATGTTTTATTTATTTTTGAGAGAGAGAGAGAGAGACAGCACGAGCAGGAGAGTGTCAGAGAAAGAGGGAGACACAGAATCCAAAGACAGGCTCTACGCTCTGAGCTGTCAGCACAGAGCCCGATGCAGGGCTTGACCCATGAACCATGAGATCATGACCTGAGCTGAAGCTGGACACTCAACCAACTGAGCCACCCAGGAGCCCCTCAGGAATCTATTATTTTTAAAGCATAATTTGAATGAATAGAAAAAAGTTTTAAAAAAATAATTTTTTTTTTTTGTCCTCTCCAGATTTTCTGAAGCAAAGGCCCTGGGAGAAAGTATAAATGAAACAAGAAGTAAAATTGGTAAGCAGATAATATTCCGTGAGCCTCTTTCACAGACCATTTTCCTGGTGAAAATCAGGTCATGATGTGCCTCCAAATAACCATGAAGCCTAGTTTCTAGAGATCCCTGCCAAGGAAGCCTCTTTGAGAGTGCCTTTCCTTGGAAGTTTGTCATCTCTCCTAACATCCATCAGGGAAAGTGTTTTCTTTCGTCTAGAACTTGAACTTTTCATCCTCATGCAGGCCTGAGCTCTAGCATCCCAATGAGAAAGTTTTGCTTTTCCCAACTGTTCCTTAACAATAGCTCAACTAGTCATAATGGCAAGATTACAGTGATGTTTTGTATTTTCAAGTGCTGTGAAACACTTTTATATCACCCCCCACCCTGCCAAGCTTAGACTTAGTTTTTGGCATAGGTGTGCATTTTTTGGCACCATTCAGTAAGCCAGGGAGAGGAGGAGAAGAAAAATGAGCCTCTATACCTTCCCAGGGTGCAGGCTACCCAGCAGGGCTCCCCCACTTAGATGAGCATTCCTGGAAAAGAGAGGTTCAGGCAGGAGGCAAACTCAATAAAAGTGTGCCTCATATTTTTATCAAAGTGATAGGAAAATGTTTCCTCCATCCCAAGCTAGAAAATACCCAGAGACCTATCTCCCTGGTTGAGGCAGCTTTGGAGAAGGACCTCTTGTGCCTTTGCCTCCTGCTGGAGAAGACAGAAGTTACCTCCCTGATCACAGCTGACTTCTTGCATCTCTTTTGTCTCCACCTCCCTCCCCGCATAAGTGAGGACAGAAGCCACTGTGAGTGTCCTCTTTGGCTTTTCCTATTGAATTTGGAAAATTACAATAGCCTTGGGAACTCAGTCTCCAAACAGGAGCCTCACATTCTCCTCTACAACCTGAGGCAGCCAGGCCCTGAGCCATGCCTAGCACTGTACAGAAAATCTCTAGAGTCTCAGGGGTTCTTAACCTAAGCCCTAGGAACTTGGATGGGGGAGAAGGGGTGAGGCGGAATGAGCCTCTAACTGCAATTTAGCTATACCTTCAGTGGCAGTGATGATGTAGACAGCCAAGCCCAGGAGGACCAGCAATCCACCTATCACCAGTGGAATTGCAGAGTGGCAGATATCATAAAGTATCTTTTATGCTCATCAGTACTTCAAAATTATGGTAGTTTTAAGACTCACCATTAGATCTTATCATTGCATGCATTTATATAAAAACATATCATATTGATATTTCTGTATCATAAAAGGTTTTAAATTGTTTTTTAAGTTTTTATTTTTGACAGAGTGAGAGAAAGTGAGCATGAGCTGAGGAGGGGCAGAGAGAGAGGGAGACACAGAATCCAAAGCAGGCTCCAGGCTCTTAGCTGTCAAAGCAGAGCCTGACGTGGGGCTTGAACTCACAGACTGTGAGATCATGACTGGGGCTGAAGTTGGACACTCAACCAACTGAGCCACCCAGGTGCCCCTAAATTTTTGATTTCAGTATAACTGATTTCTCTTAAAAATCCAATGTTTTTTATTCTATGCACCCTAAAAATCATCATTCTGAGAGAGGGTCCATAGCTTCATCAGACGGCCAGAAGAATCCCTGGCAAGAAAAAAGGTTATAACACTTCTTTCTTGACCTAGATTCCCAAACCCCTAAAACTACATGAAAAAAAAAAACAAACTGGGCATTAAGGGTGCATACATTTTTCAGGAGAAAATATCCATGGTTTGTCTGATTCTCAGAGGGGTCGGTGACAAAACCAGTAAGAAAATTGGTTCTAGATCAGTGCCCCATCCACAGGACCAGGGCTTTAGGCAAAAAGCAGACCCTGCTGGGGAGCAGCCTGGTCCCAGCAGCAGAGCCATGCTGGCACACCCGGCTGGGTGGTCTGGAAGGAGGGGAGACAAAGCCAGCCTCAGCACATCCAGGGCTAACTTGTCGGCCTTGTGGGACTCAAAGAACCCAGGGGTCTGTTTTCATCCCTGAGAGAGAAGAGTGAAACACTTTTTATAAACTGCTTCTCCCCTTGTAAGTAATATAAAGTTTTACTCTGGAAAAATATCTACCTTGGGGTGCCTGGGTGACTCAGTCAGTTAAGCGTCCGACTTCGGCTCAGGTCATGATCTCACAGTTCGTGGGTTCGAGCCCCCGTCGGGCTCTATGCTGACTGCCAGCTCAGAGCCTGGAGCCTGTTTCAGATTCTGTATCTCCCTCTCTCTGACCCTCCCCTGCTCACGCTCTCTCAATAGATAGATAGATAGATAGATAGATAGATAGATAGATAGATATAGATATAGATTTCTCAGAAATAAATAAAACAGGGGTGCCTGGGTGGCTCAGTCGGTTAAGAGTCCGACTTCAGCTCAGGTCATGATCTCACGGATCATGGGTTCGAGCCCTGCGTCAGGCTCTGTGCTGACAGCTAGCTCAGAGCCTGGAGCCTGCTTCAGATTCTGTGTCTCCCTCTCTCTCTGACCCTCCCCTGTTCACGCTGTCTCTCTCTCTCTCAGAAATAAATAAAACATTTAAAAAAAAAAAAAAGAAAGAAAACAAAAAATTTTTAAAAATAAGAAAAATATCTACCTCACTAAACCAAAGTAAAACCAAAGCATTCATTCCAACACTAATGAAATAGACTTATAATGAAAGATACCAACGGCCTACACTAATATAATTTTTCCCTGTAAGTACAGGTTGTTGTCACAAATCTGAATTCTTCATAATTTTGGTTCATTGTCATATGTTCATGGATCCAGTTTGCCACATTCTTAAGAAAAGGCAAGTGAGATGCTGTGCTGTGCAGGTTGTACCCAGCCCAGGAACCAGGGTCCAAGGGTGTGAGGGCTGCAATTCATCTCTCAGAGAGCATGATCTGGACACACAAAGGGTCCAGATCTGCTAGTGGACCTCTGTTTTTTTCTGGATCATAACAGCTCATACCAGTGTTGAGATTCAAGTATTCACTGCTACCAGTAAAGTGGCTACTGTAGTGGTGCTGATAAAGCCAAAGTCACTCTTACTTTACTCGGTGCAAAAAGCAGACTAAGACCCATCCCCTGGCCACCCATCTTCCAAATGTGTTTTTGATTCAAGGGGGTCCCGGTGAGTAGATCATTGGGACCCAGCCTCATTACTGCATCAGCTCTCATGGTGCTTGACCCCAGAAGTAGCCCACCATGGGGTCATCACTGCATGTTCTGTCAGGGTTAAGACTAAGGAAGTATAAAGTGGAAGTTGTACACACATTTAAATTTAAAATCTCCAAGGCCATGTTGAAGGAAACGTTTCAGATTTGCGACCTTTCTAAGTGCGTTTTTCCCAGGAAGAAATTAAATCAAGTGGAGTTTTCAGTCCCCAGTGACTGAAATCTTAGACTTAATGAATGTAAGATTCAGAAGGTGGGAGCTTGGCACAGAGGTAGCATCACATGTGTGGGATGGTGACTCAGCTCCATGCCCAAACTGTGCCACATCCTGCCTCTGGACCCTGAGGCAGGGATGGGATGCTGTGGAGTGCACATGGAATTGGCCTGCAGAGAGGAAATGAAAGCTGTATTCGTGAACTACAGATCGACCAGCACACGTGTTTCAAGTTCAGGTTGTCTTCCTGGGTAATTTGTTTTTCTCCGACATTGTGATCAAGAACTGCCACTCAAGCTTCATCATCAAAAATTCTTAAAGGCTAACAATTCAGCTATAACCACATAATATCCAATTTTTACATGGCATAATAAGTCAACCCAAACCTCCATATTATTTCCCTTTCTTATAATAAACCAACCCAAACTAGGTAGATCCACTCTTTTTTTAAATAGTTTTTATTATCAAGTTGGTTTCCATATAACACCCAGTGCTCATCCCCACAAGTGCCCTCCTCCATGCCCATCACCCCCCTTCCACTCTCCCCCACCCCCATCAGCCCTCATTTTGTTCTCAGCATTCAAGAGTCTCTCATGCTTTGCCTCCCTCCCTCTCCCCCACTATTTTTCCCCTTTTTCTCCCCCATGGTCCTCCATTAAGTTATTCCTAATCCTCCTATACGTGCAAACATATGGTATCTGTCCTTCTCTGCCTGACTTATTTCGCTCAGCATAACACCCTCAAGTCCCATCCATGTTGCTACACATGGCCAGATTTCATTCTTTCTCATTGCCATGTAGTATTCCATGGTATAGATAAACCACATCTTCTGGATCCATTTGCCAGATGATGGACACTTGGGCTCTTTCCATGTTTTGGCTATTGTGGAGAGTGCTGCTATGAACATTGGGGTACATGTGCCCCTATGCCTCAGCACCCCTGTATCCCTTGGGTAAATTCCTAGCAGTGCTATTGCTGGGTCATAGGGGAGTTCTATTGTTAATTTTTTGAGGAACCTCCACACTGTTTTCCAGAGGGGCTGCACCAGTTTACATTCCCACCAACAGTGTAGGAGGGTGCCCGTTTCTCCACATCCTCGCCAGCATAGGTAGATCCACTCTTGCCACCAAGTCCTTGTCTGTCCTTCTCTGCACACCATTTATATCAGTTCTGATGCTGAATCAGTTGAAATTAGAAATGGAAGAAAGAACTAATATAAGATCTCCCTGGAAAAAAGTAGAATCTTTGTTGGTGTAAGAGAGCTGTCCTCACTGTATTTGCCTGTCCCATACACAAGAGCATTAGACTGCTTTTTATCACATAGGCTATGTATTTATGCTCACATACACCCTGCTTCCATTCATCCTATCTCTAAAAATGCCATTGAGCCCAAACTGTGGGTAAAGAACAAGACTGTATTAGAAGCAATGGCATCAACCAGGCCATTTCTCACTCACTAAAATATTGGCATTCCTTCTTCTACCACTGGCAGCATTGTCTCTGGCAACAAGAAACAATGAAGGCCTGTTCTTTGGCATAAGGCCCACCCCTAGACCAGTCAGAAGCCAGCTGCTTGGGAGGCAGGTGACAGAGCTTGACTGGCACCTCTTGGCACCTCTTCATCCCCCACTGACCTCTTCAGGCCTAAATGAAAACTAACTTCATG